AAGTTTTAGTAATGACGTGTGGTGTGAATATTTTACTCCCAACGGGTTGTGTTGATTGCGGAGGAAACCGTTGTGAATAAGAAAGTCCTTTTTTGGTGGTTTTGCGATACTCGGGTTTCTTTCGAAAATTAGCTTGGAGTGATTGTTTTTGAGTGTGCGGTAGGCTGTGACATGATCGGTAGAGAAACATGGGTCTAGCGCGAGGACAGGCTTCAAACCCCTGTACCAGTCCAATTTCATGTTCATCTGTTCTTTGAAAGCTAAGGAGACAAGGAGTTATCTTTGAGATTTTTCAAGCGTTGGCTATATTTGAGAGTGATTAGATTAGATTAGATTAAGAATAATGACATAAACATCATCACTAGTTTTAAACATTCTTTCTGATTTCCTCATTATCAGAACTGTGAACATTTCACAGCCTTCGTCATTAAAAAACAAACAAATTCTATAACTAACATAATTGTCATAATTTATTTACATTTAAAAAAGTTTAAAAAGTTAAAAACCGTTAATTTAAAAAATAAATAAATAAAAACAAATTCATGAGATATTTATTCCCTTTCTCTTGGCAACACACGGATTTTTATATAAATATTGGACTTGTTGCTTCTTCTTTTCGATATAATTTACACCCTCTATTTTTGCTAAAACTATATTTGACACTTCCCAAAAATTGCCTGTGTCTACTAAATTATTAGTCTTTTTAAATTCTTCTAGATTAATTTTAAAATCAATAACAGACACTGAATTTCTAACAAAAGATGGCAATTTATTCCAAAAGCTGATAACACGCTCTGATAAAAAATTATTAGACAAGGTTTTAATATTTCTATCAATATTGTTAGATTTAGTGCTAACAATTTTATCTCCCGATCTACTTAAATTGAAAATATCTTTTCCATACTCAACCAATCCATTTACAATTTTGTAGGCTTCAATCAAATCTCCTCTAACCCGTCTCTCTGCGAGTGTTGTAATCTGTAAGGCATCCAACCTTTCACTGTAAGGAAGTGTTCCAATATCATCAATAAGGCGTGTGAACCTTCTCTGGACATTTTCCAGTTCAATGATAGTAGCCCAATTCCCATGGCAGGCAGGTGGAGACCACAACTGAGCACAATACTCCAAGTGAGGTCTTATTATAGTTTTATAAACATTTCTCATAACATTAATTTCTCTTATAATGAGATTCCTTGTAACCCATGCAATCATACTGTTTGCTTTACTAATACAACTTTTAATATGTTTCGACCATTTCAAATCTGAAGAAGTTAAAACTCCAAGATCTTTCTCTGCTTCAATACATTCAAGTGTAACACCACTAAATACATATTCTTGAAGGGGATTTTCATTAAATGGAACATGCATTATTTTGCATTTGCTAGGATTAAACTTTAACAGCCACACATTTTGCCAGTTTTGCAAGCTTTCTAACATATTGAAAGTGCTTTCAGTGTCATTGGTATCCATAATAACTTTAAGATCATCTGCAAACAGTTTTGATATACCATTAATACAATCAGGCAAGTCATTGATAAAAATGACAAACAATAAAGGACCTAAAACAGACCCTTGTGGGACGCCTGGTAAAACATCACGAAGGTAGGAATATGCTCCACCAACAAATGTCTTAAATCTTCTTCCAGATAAAAAGTCTTTCACAATATCTAAAGTGTTACCACTTATACCCAAATTTCTCATTTTTGTAAGTAGTCTATGATGTGGAACACTATCAAATGCTTTACAAAAATCTAAGTAAAACACATCTACGGGTGCACCATCTTCTAATAGTTCGATGATACATTCTACACTCTCTAATAGATTAGATAAACAAGATTTACCTTCTACAAATCCATGCTGGTTTGGATTTATCTTCTTACTAACAAAACTCATAATATGCCTCCTTACTAATTTTTCATATAATTTACATAAAATGCATGTAAGTGACACTGGCCTGTAATTTAGGGCATCTTTCCGACTACCCTTTTTATAAAGAGATGTAACATTTGCTGTCTTCCACTGTTCTGGAATTTTTCCACTTGAAGCACATGTTTGAAATAATTTAGTCACAGCAGAAACAAAACTTGAATTATGTTCAAGTTCTTTTAATAATTTAGGATGAATGCCATCTGGCCCTTTACTTTTACTAATATTAATTCTTTTCAGTTCTCTGCCAACATCATCCATTGTTATCTCAATATTTTCAATGTGTAACTCATCCGCAATAAAATAACATTCTCTGTTCAAAGGTCCATCTGGTTCTTTGACAAAAACTGAAGCAAAAGCATCAACCAATACTTCGGCAGTTTCAAAATTACTTTTGGTCAAAGATCCGTCCGGTTTTTCCAGGGATGATACACAACTTTTTAACACTCTTTTCCCTCTTAAATATGCATAAAATGGCTTCGTATTATATTTCATACACTGTGTAATTTTTCTTTCATAATTAACTTTACACTTAAATGACTTACTATCAAACTGTCCTTGTTGGTTCAGTGCAACATTAAGATTTTCAGAAGAAGGATTATTATCAAAAATATACCAACATTTATCTGTCTTTTTCCTGCATCTTTTTAAGGATGAATTTGCCCAAGGCTTACATTTAAAGTTCTTTTCCGTCGGAACTATATCAGATACTAAGTTAAGCTTTGAGTGTAACTCACTCCACATATCTTCAGAAGTTAAAGTACCCTCACTAAAAGACCAGTCAATTTCAGCTGATCTGTGTAACAATTCTTTGCCAGAGACTTTTCCCCATAACTTTCTAGGCTCCTTTGCAGCCTCATCATCTTGCTTACTGTTACTAAGACTTAGATTTAATTCTACATTAAAACAAACATGATCGCTCTTCCCCAAGGGGGAGACAATCATTACTTCATTGACAATAGCTTCGTTTGTAGAGAGAACCTGATCTAGTGTACTCTCTTGAAGTTTACCGCTGACAACTCTACGTCTGGTAACTTCATCTGTGATATACCAAACCAAGCCATTGTCTTGTACACATTCCATAAAATTCTTTTCTATAATTAAACCCTTATTACTTGTTCCTAAAGGAGCATTAACAGTTCCACTAAGCCAAGATACATTTGGTAAATTTAAATCTCCAACTAGGATTGATTCAACATTAAAAACAGCTAGTTTTGCAATCATTTTGGTCATCGCATTGTTCTGTGCTTTAGAAAGAGACATTGATCTATAAATACATGCAATATTTACCCTACCAATGTTGCTATCGAATTCAACAGCAATCGAATCAGTGACCCTAAACCAATCTATGACAACTGGATTCAAAGAGTCTTTAATATAAATAATACAGCCTCCACCACTACTAACAGAACTTTCTCCTACTTCTTCATTAACTGTAAAATCTCTATCTTTTCTAAATATTTTGAAACCAGGTATGCTAATTTCAGCATCAATAATTTCATTGTTAAAATGAGTTTCATTTATGCAAACAATGTCAGACTGGTACAGCGAAACAGCATTTCTCAATTCACAAAACTTATTATATAAACTATTACTGTTACTATAAAACAATTTAAGGTTTAGGCATTCTATAGTTTTGCTTTCTCTGCAAGTCGCTTTCTCCGTTCCTGTCTCACAAAAAATTGGACGTCTCTGTCAGCTCTGTTCAGATCCTGATTGATCCAATAAACTTCTTTCTTCGTTTTCTCAGAATCCACTTCTATCTTCCAACCTTTCCCATAGTTACTCCAATACAATGCAGCCTCTTTTGATTTGAGTTTTACAATCAGCGGTCTAGGTTGATGTTCCCTGCTTTCACCAGATTCAGTTAATTTACCTGCCCGAAAACAGGACACGATCACGTCTTCTTCCATGCCACAAATTTCATGTAAAAACTTGAGATCATTGCTTTGAGATCTGTTCTCTTTGATATCCATTTCGGGAACGTGTCTAATGATCACATTACATTCTCTTTTGATCCGTTGGATCTTGTCAGCATCAATCTGTTGGACTGTTGCCTTCACTAATTGAGTTGGTGGCTTGTCACTAATAGTTGCCTGGAGGTCAACCTTCGCTGCATCAACGTAGCTCTTCACTTTTGAAGATGATTCATTGACTATATCTTTTTTGACAGCAGCCATTGCTGTTGGTAACTCATTCTGCAGACTGTTCTTAACAGCATTGGTAATCGTTTCATTAATGAGGTTAATATATATGAGTATGTGAAACTTTGCAACGGTGAGGACAGAAGCTGACTCTTATTTACCACACCCTTTCTGCAGGGGCGAGTATTTTGCTGTCTGACGACAGTCATGTGGTAATTAATTGCATTGACAGCAACCAGCTTTGTTCAGTGGTAAAAAGTTATAATGTCAGAATATATATACAATAAATTAAATCAAGTGATGCAAATGGCAGAGCACAATCGTAAATCCTGAGCAATAAATATGATCTATCCCTCGTAGCTCTTCTCCTCAGGTATCAAGTTGTTGAAAAGTCATTTTCGATAGCCTCTGAGTCTGAAGGCCGAGCCCCCGCTCATATTGCACAGGGGAGGCCTGCCTTCCATGATCGCAGTACAAAGGGGAAGCCTTGAGTCCAAAATCGTGTAACGATCGAGGGGTGGGTGTGGAATTTGAAATACCAAAAAAACATCTTCGGTTACAGCAGGGTAACATGGAAAATAAACTAAAGTGATTTCCAGGATAACTTTGAAACATTTTTGGCTTAGAAAATTTTCAGTCCAATTCATCCCAATACGTACTTCTGAAGGCAGAGCTTCCGAGTTCGGTTTGCAAAGAGGAGGCATGCTTTCCGGGATTGAATCGCAAAAGGGAAGCCTTGATAGGTTATGAATATAATAGGCTGAAGGCTCCTAATGAATAAGGCTCCTTCCAATTGTCCAAATTGTGTGCGAAAAATTCTCATAATGATAGTCTGCTAATGTTTGCCAATGTCTGTCCAAGCCCCCCTCCCCCCGCCCTCTTGTTTGTTTTAGAATAGCTTCAGATTTAATTACTATTCTTTTATCAGTTATGGCTAAGGTTTATGTGGGAAACATAGACAGAAGAACTGAAAAGCGAGATCTTGAACAAGAATTTGGCAGATTTGGGAAGATAAGACAGATTCAAATTTGGGCTGATCGACATCCTGCTGGATTTGCTTTTGTGGAGTATGAAGATGACAGGTTAGCTTTGCAATTTGACTTTTTATATCTATGACAATAAAAATGAGATAAGCTAGCTCTATAGAAGGTCACAGTACAAAATAACGGTATAAATCAATACAATGCTATCCATAAATTCTCAAATCATATCAAACTGAAGCGGATTATGTACAGATTGAACTTGGTGTTGTAAATGTGGAAACTTAAAGAATGGTCAGAAATTCCTAGGAATTTATATATTGTGCTATTCATGCATAAATTTGATCTCTGTTCAAAAGTTCTGTGTGTTGCAATAGTTATCAATAATAGTTCCAATGGTTGTTGCAAATATGTCTGTATTAGAATAATGTTGAAAATGAGGGAACATCCAACTGTCCTTCACACTTCTCCATTGGGATACTCATCTTCAAACTCCACTTCCTCGATATCAGCGTATCTGAGAGTTTCCTGATCTTCTCCATAGAACCTCCTGTAATTCGACTGAGCCTGAACCATACTTGCTATCTTCTTCACTGGCAGAACAAATGCTTCACAACCATACTTGGTGAAAAAGAACACCAGAGGGTAGGCAGCTGCACGTATTGTGTTGATGAAAAGGGAAGCATAAAATGATTTCAGGATGACAGGGAACAGTTCTTCACAGTCCTCTAGAAAAGTCAGCTGTGCCCCCCACAGAACATGCTGGAACACTTCAGGAGAATCAGTAATCAGGTAGAAGATCGCATAAGCAATAACAGTCAATGTATCTTGTGTCTTTTTTACGGAAGCCTCCACATGACCCTGTTTAATATTGGAGTAAAGTATGACATTAGCCAGTAACAGTGTCCCAGTAACAAGGTAAAAGTAAAGGTACGGGATTACTTCAGTAATAAAGAGCCATGCCATGTAAATTCTTGAGTTCCATCCCCCTAAGAAGTCACTGTTGATAGGCATAGGGTGAGGAATAAAGGAATAAAAGTGAAACCTTGTGCCCATTATCATAGGTACTGCCAGACAGATACATTCGGTAGCAAACCAAGCCACTCCCATCAGGAAAACAAACAGCTTAGTTCTGTTCATGAGGTTACTGAGTACAAGAAGGGCTAAGAGGGCTGCTAGCCACTCATGATTCACTAATTTCAGAAACCCCCAAAACTGGTTGAATTCATCAGATCCAAAAGCCATGGGTTTCTTGTTGTGAATGTAGCTGATTCCAACAAATAGATCTAGTAGGACAGTCACCCAGTTTGAGGCACTGATCATTAATGTACAAACGTCCACTGTACTTTTTATCCCTTTCCTTTTAATGGCATGAGCCACTAGAATGTTCATGGTGAAACCTAGCACGAAAAATACACAGTTGAGCTGCCCAAATGTATTCTCGATTTTATCATGATCTTTGAAGGTATCTGTTGCATCATTCCAGGCCGGTGTAGTCGGGTAGTCATTCGATGTCATCTCCTGTAAATGAAGTTTAAGATTTATGAATTGAGTTTTATTCAATATTTCAAACTATTGGGTAACAGTGAAATGAATGAAATGAAATTAAATAATTTAATGTGCTTGTATATGATTAGCAACTAACACAAGTGTCAAGTGCTAACCATTCTCTGGTTAACAGATTTCAAATGTTTAATTAATTTGTAGCATGACAGTAAGGTATATAAGATGTTATTTAATTTTGCTTGGGCTATTATATTGACTATTGAGGTTTAATGATGATATGGAATTTGAATTTTATATAAATTTACACTATGTGGTTGGGGCATTTTGCATAGTAAATATGGTTACTACTCCTATATATCATATTATTTGATTGGTATTCGATTTCTGATTATTTCCCTAGGAATATGATTATTATATCTCAATTTGGCTTTAGGTAGGGTGCCCCGCTAAAAGAACTGGATTCTTCCAGGAAGCATCCCGTGCACAGAGCTTGGTCTACATATATATTAAATTATTAAACATTCATTCTGTATGTGCACGAAAATTTATTTCAATCAAAAAATGCCAGAGCGGTTCTAAAGGGTGAGGTGAAAATATTCAGCAACAATCAACTAGATCATCTCAAAATCCAAATTTATTCAGAAAATATCACTTTAGTTATATATCATATAGGAATCATAGGAAGATTTATTGATATATTACACCCTTAGAAATAAAGATATACCACCAACAATGCAAGGATTGATGCAAGTGGGCCATCGGTAACAGGAGAAATATGCCTCCACCAAGAAATCCTTGACAAAATTCTATCATCGAGCCTTAGTGGCTGATGGTATAACTCACTGGATTCTCTAGAGAAGTGGACCCAGGTTGAAACTTATCTCTTTAATCTCACCACCGTCTCGACACAAAGAGACAGAACCTTGGCCACGTGTTTTAAAAATGACCGGAGGGGGAGACGGATCCCCACCAGAGGCACATATTAGGTGCGGTAAAAAAATCGAAATTATGCGGTACCACACCCGACTATAAAGGTAAAATGTGCGGTAAGGTGCGGTAAATTTTTCACAACAGTCCATGACGTTGTGATGTAATATAGAGTAATCAGATATTGTGGTGAAGTTACGAATTTTAACTGATACACTATAATCGAAATACGGTAACGACGAGGGTTCCATAACGGCCTGGGCACGGTCCCGAAAGGGCCTTGGTCACGGTCCCGTAGGGGCCTGGGTAACGGTCCCGAAAGGCCCTGGGTCACGGTCCCGAAAGGGCCTGGGTCACGTGGTAACCGGGTCACGTGGCCTAGGCATGAGTTCCAAAAGGGCCTGGGTCACAGTCCCGAAAGGGCCTGGGTCAGGGTCCTGATAGGGCCTGGGTCACGTGGTAACTGGGTCACGTGGCCTAGGTATGAGTTCCAAAAGGGCCTGGGTCACGGTCCCGAAAGGGCCTTGGTCAGGGTCCCGAAAGGGCCTGAGTCACGGTCCTAAAAGGGCCCGACTTTTAACATATTTTGGTTTTTACACTCGAAAATCTTAACGCGAAAATGTCAAAATTATGCGAAATTACGCGGGAAATGCTAGATTATGCGGAAATATGCAGAAAATTACAAAATGTGCGGAAATGTGCGGAAAACAATAAATTATGCGGAAATGTGCGGAAAACGGTAAATTGTGCGATCCCGCACCCATCGCACCTAATATGTGCCTCTGATCCCCACCACTTTCCAAGCAAGTCACCAGGAGAATACAGTGATCTACACAACTCCCTGTTACCAACGACTCAGGATCCAGAGAAAGAGAAATAATACAAGAACAAAACAACAGTACTTATCAAATACGGTCATATATAAATAATAATGCTAAAGGCTACCTTTGAAACTGTCTATATTACGTAGTGATCGTATCTCCCAGGGAAGTGAATACCATGTATTTGGTGTATAGTCAGTGAAACGCCATCAATTGATTTTATTCTTTGTCATTTTAGGAGTCTTTAACCTGTAACAATCTCCTTCTACCTTCGATCTGGTATTAGCTGACATCAGTGTGTTTTCAATCTCTACAAGTTTTTTATGTAGTCAGGTGAAATCCCATGTTCAGCTTTATATGTAAGGAGGCAGACTTTAAAGAAAATCCGTTGGTCAAGAGGAAGGATTTGTGCTCTCTTGTAGTAGGGAAGTAGGTCTTCTGATCGGTCTTTGATATTGTAGATGAACCGAAACCTTTAATTTTTGTTCATGTCAAATGTCAATGAGGAACTGCTATTGAATATGGGCAGAAAACATCCCTGATTATATATTTTAACGAAATCTTGTAATTATATTTATAAATTTCGTTGAACGACATAGGGACTTATTATTTAAACAAGACTGAGAATCGAGAACCATGTATATGCCATTATAAAAGCGAGTGATCAATTTTCGCCCGGATGGAATTCAGTTAAAGAGTTCTGTTGAAAAATATTTGATAAAATCAAATAAATAATAAGAATCACAAATACAATTACAAGATCACAGACTTTCAAAAGAAATGATACAAACTTTCAAACAAAAAGCGTCTCGTTTAAAAAGTCAAATACGAAATGCAAAAAACAGCCAAAAAATAATACAGAAGACTGTTATAATTAAAGAATGCAAAAGAAAGTTCAAATCATCATTTTCGCAACTATATAATAGTCGAAACTTAAGTTGCACTCACGCAACAAAGAAATATTGAATCAGTAATAGAGTTGCCATTTTTGTCAACAATTAATTAATTCCATCTGTATGACAAATCTGGGCCCACAGTAGTTTGCTGGCAGTTGTTCTGTGTAATGACTGAGGCTGAGGGGCCATCCAACAGTAACTGTCCTTCACACCTAGACCTCTTCAACGGGATGCTCCTCAACTTCTTCGATATCGGTGTACCTGAGACTTTCCTGATCGTCTCCATAGAACCTCCTGTACCTCGTTTGAGCCTGAACCATATTTGCTATCTTCTTCACTGGCAGAACAAATGCTTCCCAACCATACTTGGTGAAGAAGAACACCAGAGGGTAGGCAGCTGCTCGTATTGTGTTGATGAAAAGGGAAGCATAAAATGATTTCAGGATGACAGGGAACAGCTTCTCACAGTCCTGCAGAAAGGTCAGCTGTGCCCCCCACAAAACATACTGGAAGACTTCAGGTATATCAGTTATCAGATAAAACGCTGCATAGCTAATAACAGTCAACGTATCTTGAGTCTTCTTTCTGGAAGCCTCTACATATCCTTGTTTGATGTTGGAGTAACGTATGACATTAGCCAGTAGCAGAACCAAGGTGGTCAGGTAAAAGTAAAAGTATGGGATCACTTCGGTTATAAATAACCATCCCATGTAAAATCTTGATTTCCACCCTCCAAGGAACTCGTTGTTGATTGGCAAAGGGTGAGGAATGAAGGAGACCCAGATGAACCTAGGACCTAATGCAAGGGGAATCATGAGGAGAATGCACTCTATAATCAATCCGGCTGCAGCCATCAGGAAAATGAACAGTTTAGATCTGTTGATAAGGTTACTGAGCACTAGGAGGGTTAACAGGGCTGCTAACCACTCGTTATTCACTATCCTCAGAAACCCCCACAGTTGGTTAGACTCAAATGATCCAAAAGCCATGGCCTTCTTGTTGTGAATGTAGCTGATCCCAACAAATAGATCTAGTAGGACAGTCACCCAGTTTGAGGCACTGATCATTAATGTACAAACGTCCACTGGACTTTTTATCCCTTTCCTTTTAATGGCATATGCCACTAGAATGTTCATGGTGAAACCTAGCAGGAATGATACACAGTTTACCTGAGCAAATGTGCTACCGATTTTATCATGATCTTTAAAAGTATCTGTAACGTGCCATACAGGTGTTACAGTCACAATATCCCTCTCTTCAAACTGACTTCCGTTCATAGCCTGATACGAAAAGGATATTATAGAAAAGTCTCGTACGCACAATTTGTGATATATCGCATTTCTCCTAGATAACAGTATAATTTCGTATGTCTACTAGTATAGCCGTCGTACACGTAGAAACGTAATGTTATGAGAAAAGTTAGCAATAATCAGACTAGGTGCTCTTATCACGTGATAGCTAGTTGGAATTAGACTCGCTCCTTCTAAATAAGGGACATTGGGAGTTGGGACCTCTTTTTCAATTTAACCACGAATGTAGAAGCGTCAAATTCAAAGCACGGTCAGCAGTCGTAGGAAATAAACCTGGCAAGCAACAAGTAACGAATATACTGACTCAGAAATAATAATCGAAATATGCGTGGTAAGACTGTTAAAAACATTGCTCTAAAGATACACTCCGAGAGTGCCAAACAACAACGTGCATGACTAACAACACTCTCAAACACCCGAATATCAAAAATATTACGTACGTGATAACGAGAAAAGAATCTGGAAGAATCTGAAAGAATGAGCCTAACTGAACATATCAGAACACATACAATATTCTAGTAATAACACAAACGAAACGTGTCATTTAACGCTGTAATTTAAAAATAAATAACTCCACCATCGCCGAGTAAAGCCCATATCAAGTTACAACTGCTAGAATCAGTACAAATGTCTGACATATTGGTCAGTAGTTTGTGTACCATACAATAAGATTGCACTAGTATAATATACGCACTATATTCTCAAGTAACCTGGCTGTAAGACAACAGAACAACATTCACACAGAACTACTACTCGGAGAGGCTACACAACAGAGTTACACGAGAAAGGACAAAGCATGGTCTCCCTCTCTTTCCGTTATTAATACTCTTTTTGTAGCTAACCGGAGTATGAGTAGTGGGGTGAGAATCACGTGACACGATCATGTGATCTGTCATTTAATACCGTGAGCTTATTTGACACGTTAGGGAGACAGTGGAGAGTGTTCAGATCGTGCCGGGTATCTTACCTAACACTTCAGGAAACCTTCCCTAAATACATTGCTAAGAGAACGTGCTCACTAGAGAGTGCTGAGTGTCAACACCAGTGTACCGCTGCTGCCGGGACTCATGATCTCATTCGTAGTTAACGTTGCTAAGAGAACGTGCTCACTAGAGAGTGTCAACACCAGTGTACCGCTGCTGCCGGGACTCATGATCTCATTCGTAGTTAACGTTGTTAACCCCTCTGCAAAACTCGGAGCAAAGAACAAACTGAATATGTGGGAAACGTACTGTGTAGCATGTACCGGGGCTCAGGGACCCTGTGTTGTAGATAGTAGGATGTGGAATGTAGGGAATCTAGTCACCGGGACTACACCCAGAATCTGTGTAATTCAATCCAGTTAAAAGTTTTATTATGTGCGGGGGAGAGATGTGACTAGTGATATAGGGGAGAACATTAAGTCATGTTGTAGAACATTTGTTAACGACCCTGGTGTCGTGTTATTTCCGTCCTTTTTACCGGTGCTTCCTTGCACTTGTGCCAATGGGTAATATTACGTTGTGGAGAGAAAATATGTTAAAACTGGTCGCCGCCAGTATTGATGGTGGTAACTAGTTGGGAAGATTAGAGTCTGGAGGTCACACAGAAACATTCTAAAGAACTATCGGCAAATTATAAAACATAGCCTCATATGAACCAATATGTTCAACTTTTATTTACTATTATTATTAATCGTTCACTATTTAAAGGCATTTACCGCCAATTACTACCAATTATGATTTACAGTTGATGTCCCTCCGACGACGGACGTCCGACAGGTTACATGATATTGCTAATTTTTCTCACTTCAAGGTCTTCTCAGGAGATAGAGTTTCTCCTAACCACTTCATTTCAGGGATGCAGAAGATGCGATAAAGGACCTGGATGACAGACAGTTTCTGGGTAGTCGACTGAGGGTAGAGTGGGCCAGATCTACCGGACGTAAACCACCTCCCCGCAAAAGGTAATTCATAGAATGATCCATTAATCGACTAATTGTATCACGATCAGTTGTAGTCATAACTATGGTAACAATTACCAGAAACTAGAGCAATAAAACTTTATTTTCAGTTTATTAGATGTTGATCTTCGAGCCTTTTAAGCGTTCTAAGATGCTTCATTAAGTCCATGAATTAGTGATTTGAAATAAGTATTTATACGTATATAATCTGATAATGGGTAATATAATACAAAATGCAACTTAACTTCACGAAAGTGGATATTGATAATTTATTAATTCCAAACCTAATTTGTTGTGGATGTAAAGGAATTTGTCATATAAATCCTCATTGAAGTATCCATTAAACCGTTTCCAATTAGGGTTTGTTTCTCCCACGGAAGGTAAATTTGTGTTAAGGTCGGTATTTCTAGATTTACAAACCATAACTAATGTTCGTGATCTGGTTTTAAAGTTATGCTATGAGTTAAGCTAGATGGAATAGAAAGATCCCTTAAATTTATTGAATGAAAAGTTGATAAAGATCAATAAGTAAAGATTAACAAAAACTAAACTAACATACTGTTAACTCCAGCTACCACCATTGTCTGTCACTGATACCTCTGTGAGCGCTGCACTCTGACTAACGCACTCTTACTCGCACTAAATCTCGTGTCTACTTGCACTCTCTCACGCGCCACACTTCTAAACGCGCTCGCCTCCCAGACGTACCACCAGTCTTCTCGCACAAGGTGTGCCGGCGTAATGTGTGTTGCTCGCAACACAAGCTCGCAACATGGGGTTGCATCAAGTTGGCGCTCTCTCAGACCTACCTCAGCTACTCAGACCCCCGGCTTGAAAACAGCTTCTCTCTCATATCCAGACCTTCTCTCTCGTACTTACAATCTAACTGCTATACCTTACTAGCTCGCTCTATCTTTGCTATGCGGTACAGGGTAACACTTATATAATAACCAGTTTACTTCCGGGTTTGAACCAAAACAGATTCGTAGACTGAGTTGAGGACTGTTCTTCGTCAGACAGTGTTTAGCTAGGTCCTTCGAAATCACTGCTCGTAATTAAGATTCAAAACTGCTTTTATCATTTTCAACAAAAAATGCCGCTTTCTTAGACCAAAGCTTTGCATGAAGGGGAGGTACATTTAAAGTAAGTGTTAGAACTAACCACTAAAAGTGTGTTCTCGCAGGTCTCCTGCTGCTAGACGTGGTGGAAGTTATAGACGTTCGCCATCTCCTCCTCCAAGAAACCGGCGCTCCAGGTATAGTATTATACATCTGTTTCTGTTACCCAGATTTGAAGTGAAATCCTCGCTCATGTGATTAATTACTTAATTCACCCATTTAAATACCTCATATGTATGGTCATAAACCTTATCTAATTCATGAACTTTCAGTGTAATTCTAAGAAGAAATTTTCCATCTACCAAGTTTTATTAATTTGCTTATAACCACACCCTACAGGTCTCGCAGTCCCGCTGTCGGCGCTGCAGCAGCTGCCCGCAGAAAAAGTCCTTCTCCAACCACGCTGTAATAATAATATACGCCTCAAATATCTGATCATAAGTACTGTGTATAGTTTAGAAAGTTTCAATTCCGTTAATTTTGCTCATTACTCCTCCTTTCAGATCCCGAAGTCCAGCTCCCCGCCGACGCTCTCCTTCTCCCCGCCGACGCTCTCCTTCTCCCCGCCGACGCTCTCCTTCTCCCCGCCGGCGCTCTCCTTCTCCTCGCCGCAAGTCGCCATCACCCCGCCGCAGGAGCCCATCTCCTCGCAGACGCTCCTTATCTCGCTCTCCTCGTCGCAGCAGAACACCTCCCAGTCCCCGATAAAATAATGTGATGGATAAAACTTTAAAATCATAACGAGCACTGCATAGTTGCCATGTTTCTACTTGTTTACTTTTTGAACAGTTTTGAGTTGCGATAATGTTAACAGAACACCAGAGCCATGCGAGCTCTTTATTCCTCTGTCGCCCATTTTAACCCAGAAATTAAATTTTATATGTTATATTCAAATTTCCGCGTTTGATGATAATTTGTCGAGTTACTCTTGCTTCTTACAATTTTAATTTAAAAGCTGATATCGCTGAATACTTAATGGCTGATCAAGTCAAAAAATAATTCTATAATAAATAAATTGCTTGTCATTAAACAAAAGATGCTGCTAGGATTCTATTAAAACTTATGATATCCGAACATCCCATACTTTCCATTCCTAATGTTTTATCGTCCACTCTAGTGTAGCAAGATGGCCAAACTTTACATTGGTAATGTTGATAAGCACACCGACAAGCGCGAGCTGGAGACGGAGTTTGCTAAGTTCGGAGCTCTGAGAGAAGTCTGGGTTGCCCGACACCCTCCTGGATTCGCTTTCGTCGAGTTCGAGGATGACAGGTAGACGATATTCCTTGCTATTTTTAGGCGAAATCTTTAAATTTTCAATCAATATACAATATTTGAATATCAACAGAGTACAACCAACTAATCAAGCTGCACTACATTGACATGCAAAGGTTGCATGTGAATGTAGTTGATTGAACGCTCATTGTTTTCTTTAAGAAAACATTATTAAATTATTGGTAATGTTTATTTTGTAGTGCAGACCGTATAAAAAATGAACATTATTAACATTATAAACACTTTCCCATCAGAGACGCAGAAGATGCCATCAGAGAAATGGACGACAGGAGTGTTTGTAACAGCAGAATCAGAGTAGAGTGGGCCAAGTCTAACGGCAGAAAACCCCCTCCTCGAGACAGAGGTGGTTTCAGTGGCAAACGAAAATCCAGGTACTTCAGAGTTTGATATTTTTTTGTCGTTATAAATACTCAAGTTTACTCTAGTGCTGGAATTTTCTCGTACGTTTTGCGTCTGTTTGGACGCGGCGGACTCTTTGTAGGATTCATAAGGTGGAATTTGTGTGACCCATTGTAGTGTGGTTGTTGGCGGAGTGTAAAATTCTTAAGATTCTTACGTCTTACAGTTCAAGACTTTGAGTCCGGTGTTGTCCAAACAGACATAAAAAATTTAACCGAATACATCTAGCCCTGGAGTAAGTTGTTAAGTAATATTTAAAAACTATTCGAGACATAACCTCCTATCATATTAGGGTGCTCGCCCGATCTCGAACGATCGTAGCATCGCATCCCTTCGCTGCCACCACTTCGCATCGTATCTCACACCGCACTTGTATCCTCGTCTCGTAAGATCTAACATCGCATCGTAACATCGCATCATTTCTCCCGCAACCTACACATCAATAATTGGATTTACAAACGGCGGCTGTTGTCTGACGTCATGTCACGTGGTGTGTGACGTCATGTCACGTGTTGTGCGAACAACCGCCTATAATAATCGTCCCGGCAACAATTTGTAGCATCCTCCAACAATTTGTGGGTCATCTTAAGTCAGCTCTGGTAAGAGACACGGACAAGTCTGGCAATGAAATGTTCAATGACTTTTCCTAACATGGGGCTGTTTTGATTCTCTTGTAAAAAACGTAAAAAATGTACTTTCTGTTTTGGTCTTGATTTTATTTCCAAGGCTCCTCAATCAAGTGCTATGCATGTTCAATTAAACCGAATATTTATTACTTGCATATTTTCTACCATCATGATATTTAGGTCTAGAAGCCCACCCCGAAAGAGGCGCAGTCCTCCTCCAAGACGACGATCCCCGTCTCCAAGAAGACGATCTCCTTCCCCCAAACGATCCTCCCCGAGACGATCTCCTAGACGATCTGCCTCCCCCCGGCGAGCAGCAAGGTGGGAACATTTATCTTAAATTAAGAAAATTGTAAGATCTGTCAAGCACACTTGAGATGTGAGAAATGGCTCGCATGTCTACTAACATCCCCTGTGCTTACTAAGTAACTATGTCTCAGTGCATCATGTTTATTTTATTAAACATAATGCACAAGTTTTTAAAAATGTTGTTAAATTTGGCGTTCCATTCTCTACAATACTTGTGAAAACACTGCAAATAAATTGGTGATCAATATCATCATTCGATAAAAGCTGATTTCTGGTATGCATAAATTTACGACACACGATTATTTCCATTTAGTATTTGCCTTGTTTCACTTGCTCTTCCTTGATGATCCATACTAAACACTACAGCTATTTGACATGTCTGCTTTATAAACACGGTTAAATCGGTGTAAAACTACCCTGCTCAGGACGGTCGTCTCCGAACAGTACAACACACGTTATGATTATTTCTGCACGTTTCTGTTCGCCGAATAAAAGGAACTAACACTTCCCGTGCACGGAACGCGCGAAATAGCGTCTTCAGTACAAACGCATAGTTTGTAACCATTTTCAGGAGATGCGAGCGCAGCGCGCGCGCTCAGTCACGGCTGTTCAGAACGTCGATTTTTGCGATTCTAATTAGATAGGATTACCCTAGGATTTATCCTAGCGCGTCCGAGATATCTCGGATTTTATCAATCCTAACGCCGATCCAGTCCCCCCCCAGGATACCTCCGATGAATTCCTATCGCCGAGCGGCGATAGGATGTGTAAGTTCCGAGAGGCGATAGGATTTGCTCTCGGACCCGATAGGAAATTAAAAACCTATCGGATCCGAGCGCTAATCCTAGCGGAGATAGGATTTAACAATTCCGAGTGCCGAAAGGATTTGCTCTCGGACCCGATAGGATACTCAAATCCTATAGGATCCGAGAGCAAATCCGAGAGGCGATAAAATTTCAAATATCAGGACCGATATAATTGGAAGACGACGCATATCTAACTGTAGGTTGAAACTTCAAGCTTTCTGTCAGTTAACTTCAGGATCATATCAGATCGCTTTATCTTAAGTTGATCCACGGTTGCCTGCAGGTTACAACAACTTGGAGGTTGTTTAGGTTAAATTAAGTAGATAAATGATAACTTTAAGCTAACTTGTAGTTCTCTATAAGAGTTAACTCTAGGATACCTTGTAGTACTCTTCAAGTTAACTTCAGAATACCTTGTAGTACTCTTCAAGTTAACTTCAGGATACCTTATAGTACCCTTCAAGTTAACTTCAGAATACCTTGTAGTACTCTTCAAGTTAACTTCAGGTTACCTTGTAGTACTTTTTGAGTTAACTCTAGGATACCTTGTAGTACTCTTCAAGTCAACTTCAGGATAACTTGTAGTTCTCTTCAAGTTAACTTCAGGATACATTGTAGTACTCTTCAAGTTAAGTTCAGGATACCTTGTAGTACTCTTCAAGTTAACTTCAGGATATAACCTTGTAGTACTTTTTGAGTTAACTCTAAGATACCTTGTAGTACTCTTCAAGTCAACTTCAGGATAACTTGTAGTACTCTTCAAGTTAAATCCAGGATACCTTGTAGTACTCTTCAAGTTAACTTCAGGATACCTTGTAGTACTTTTCGAGTTAACTCTAGGATACCTTGTAGTACTCTTCAAGTCAACTTCAGGATAACTTGTAGTACTCTTCAAGTTAAATCCAGGATACCTTGTAGTACTCTTCAAGTTAACTTCAGGTTACCTTTTAGTACTTTTTGAGTTAACTCTAGGATACCTTGTAGTACCCTTCAAGTTAACTTCAGGATACCTTGTAGTACTCTTCGAGTTAACTTCAGGATATAACCTTGTAGTACTTTTTGAGTTAACTCTAGGATACCTTGTAGTGCCCTTCAAGTTAACTTCAGGTTACCTTGTAGTACTTTTTGAGTTAACTCCAGGATACCTTGTAGTACTCTTCAAGTTAAGTTCAGGATACCTTGTAGTACTCTTCAAGTTAACTTCAGGATATAACCTTGTAGTACTTTTTGAGTTAACTCTAGGATACGTTGTAGTACTCTTCAAGTCAACTTCAGGATAACTTGAAGTACTCTTCAAGTTAAATCCAGGATACCTTGTAGTACTCTTCAAGTTAACTTCAGGATACCTTGTAGTACTCTTCAAGTTAACTTCAGGATACCTTGTAGTGCCCTTCAAGTTAACTTCAGGATACCTTGTAGTACTCTTCAAGTTAAATCCAGGATACCTTGTAGTACTCTTCAAGTTAACTTCAGGATAACTTGTAATACTCTTCAAGTTAAACCCAGGATACCTTGTAGTACTCTTCAAGTTAACTTCAGAATACTTTACGTACTGCAGTACGTACGTGCGAGCGTATATATATACCGCGCGATCAACATTTTAATTTAGCGGTTACATTTTTTGTGTTCTTTCGGAAACCTTGAAAAATATAATTTTATGACTATCAGCCCATCGATTAAAACTAACCCATATAGAACATTTCTGCTACTTCCTGCTAATTACATGTCAATGATTCTAACACTCTCCTCAGTCGTAGTCCACGAAGGAGTCCTGACAGAGAGATGTACCGCGGCGGCAGCCCCAGCAGAAGAGGTGGCAGCCCCAGATACGACGATTACAACAGATAGAAAGTCCAAAGCTACCATACCCATCCAAGGCTGAACTCAATTTATTCGGGCTGAACATCTTTTCTGTATATCCGTGGACTAAGTTTTAATGGTTACGAAAAACGTTACTTTCTTATTTGTATCGCAAATACACGAAGCAGACTTATTTTTACTTTACTGTGCTAGATGTAGTCCCTTTCACCCTTGAAACTTTCACATGCTTTCTTGAGTTCGAAGAAGTCTTCTTACAACACCGGATATTTATTATTTACTGAATATTTTGATATTATATGATTGTAATTCTTCACTCTTGACGTACAACGATATGAAAGTCTTACTTGGTTTTGTTCTCAACTATCATACTTGAATTTTATTAAAAAAGGTATCATCACAGTAATTTGATAAATTATTATATAAGTTACTTAATAATAAATGAGCGAAAATAAGTTTCTTTATTGATCGCATACTGCTATTAATCAGCACACAGCTAATGCTATTAGTATCACTGTATTGAGTCCAAGTCAGTCATTGAACCAACAATGTACACGCCCAATAGTTCCTCTGCTCCGGGTTTAGACTGTTGTCTATCAATTCCTCTCTTTCTAGAGGTTCCTCCAATGGTTCTCCGTTTTCCTGCGACATTCCTTGTTCCTGCAGCTCTCTTTTTTCCAGCAATGCTTCTTTGTCTGGAAGTATTATCCGGGTCTCCGGCACCTCCCCGTTTTGGAGATGATTGGTTCTGTTCTGTGGTAGTCCATCGTTTTCCAGCAGTTCTTCACTGCTTCCTAAACATTTCTCTTCAATATCTAGCTGCCCTGTTCTTATCCCATCGTCTGTTTCGGTATCGCCATTCTCCTTTAGTTTCCTCTTACTTAGAATCTGCAGTTCAAAACTGCTTTTATCATTTTCAACAAAAAATGCCGCTTTCTTAGACCAAAGCTTTGCATGAAGGGGAGGTACATTTAAAGTAAGTGTTAGAACTAACCACTAAAAGTGTGTTCTCACAGGTCTCCTGCTGCTAGACGTGGTGGAAGTTATAGACGTTCACCATCTCCTCCTCCAAGAAACCGCCGCTCCAGGTATAGTATTATACATCTGTTTCTGTTACCCAGATTTGAAGTGAAATCCTCGCTTATGTGTAATAATTACTTAATTCACCTATTCAAATACCTCATATGTATGGTCATAAACCTTATCTAATCCATGAACTTTCAGTGTAATTCTAAGAAGCCATGCGAGCTCTTTATTCCTCTGTCGCCCATTTTAAACCAGAAATTAAATTTTATATGTTATATAATATATTCAAATTTCCGCGTTTGATGATAATTTGTCGAGTTACTCTTACATCTTACCATTTTAATTTAAAAGCTGATGTCGCTGAATACTTAATGGCTGATCAAGTCAAAAAATAATTCTATAATAAATAAATTGCTTGTCATTAAACAAAAGATGCTGCTAAGATTCTATTCAAACTTATGATATCCGAACATCCCATACTTTCCATTCCTAACGTTTTATCGTCCACTCTAGTGTAGTAAGATGGCCAAACTTTATATTGGTAATGTTGATAAGCACACCGACAAGCACGAGCTGGAGACGGAGTTTGCTAAGTTCGGAGCTCTGAGAGAAGTCTGGGTTGCCCGACACCCTCCTGGATTCGCTTTCGTCGAGTTCGAGGATGACAGGTAGACGATATTCCTTGCTATTTTTAGGCAAAATATTTAAATTTTCAATCAATATACAATAGTTGAAAATCAACAGAGTACAACCAACTAATCAAGCTGCACTACATTGACATGCAAAGGTTGCATGTGAATGTAGTTGATTGAACGCTCATTGTTTTCTTTAAGAAAACATTATTAAATTATTGGTAATGTTTATTTTGTAGTGCAGACCGTATAAAAATTGAACATTATTAACATTATAAATACTTTCCCATCAGAGACGCAGAAGATGCCATCAGAGAAATGGACGACAGGAGTGTTTGTGGCAACAGAATCAGAGTAGAGTGGGCCAAGTCTAACGGCAGAAAACCCCCTCCTCGAGACAGAGGTGGTTTCAATGGCAAACGAAAATCCAGGTACTTCAGAGTTTGATATTTTCTTGACGTTATAAATACTCGAGTTTTCTCTTGTGCTGGAATTTTCTCGTATGTTTTGCGTCTGTTTGGACTCGGCGGACTCTTTGTAGGATTCATAAGGTGGAATTTGTGTGACCCATTGTAGTGTGGTCGTTGGCGGGGTGTTAAATTCTTAAGATTCTTACGTCTTACAGTTCAAGACTTTGAGTCCGGTGTTGTCCAAACAGACATAAAAAATTTAACCGAATACATCTAGCCCTGGAGTAAGTTGTTAAGTAATATTTAAAAACTATTCGAGACATAACCTCCTATCATATTAGGGTGCTCGCCCGATCTCGAACGATCGTAGCATCGCATCCCTTCGCTGCCACCACTTCGCATCGTATCTCACACCGCACTTGTATCCTCGTCTCGTAAGATCTAACATCGCATCGTAACATCGCATCATTTCTCCGCAACCTACACATCAATAATTGGATACAAACGGCGGCTGTTGTCTGACGTCATGTCACGTGGTGTGTGACGTCATGTCACGTGTTGTGCGAACAACCGCCTATAATAATCGTCCCGGCAACAATTTGTAGCATCCTCCAACAATTTGTGGGTCATCCTAAGTCAGCTCTGGTAAGAGACACGGACAAGTCTGGCAATGAAATGTTCAATGACTTTTCCTAACAAGGGGCTGTTTTGATTCTCTTGTAAAAAACGTAAAAAATGTACTTTCTGTTTTGGTCTTGATTTTATTTCCAAGGCTCCTCAATCAAGTGCTATGCATGTTCATTTAAACCGAATATTTATTACTTGCATATTTTCTACCATCATGATATTTAGGTCTAGAAGCCCACCCCGAAAGAGGCGCAGTCCTCCTCCAAGACGACGATCCCCATCTCCAAGAAGACGATCTCCTTCCCCCAAACGATCCTCTCCGAGACGATCTCCTAGACGATCTGCCTCCCCCCGGCGAGCAGCAAGGTGGGAACATTTATCTTAAATTAAGAAACAGTATAACACACGTTATGATTATTTCTGCACGTTTTTGTTCGCCGAGTAAAAGGAACTAACACATCCCGTGCACGGAACGCGCGAAATAGCGTCTTCAGTACAAACGCATAGTTTGTAACCATTTTCAGGAGATGCGAGCGCAGCTCAGCTAGTACGTACGTACGTACGTACGCGCATACATATATATACTGCGCGGGGGGGTACCAATGGCATAAATGGCATAATGGAGAATTGGCCAAGCAAAATTTCCATTTATGCCATGAAATTTCTATGCCATTTGACGATTTTTATGCCATTTGTCTCCATTTTATGCCATTCGAAATATGAAATTTTAAAACTTTGAACTGAGAATTTAATAACGAATAGTCTGCACCCCACTAGTACTGTCACCTTTATCTCTATTTGTTGTACTGACCCTGGTCATTAGAAACACCCCTAAAAGTTCGTTTTTTGACAAAAAATTGAAAACTTCTGTAATTTCATTTATGTTTTAGTTACGCATTTGATTTTTGGTATGCGTATAGAAAATCGATACGGCTTTAAAATGAGATGTTCGGCGACCTCCTAGCTCACTCACTAGACTCAGTAGGAGTGATTTAACTGCGAGGGACAATTGAGGCTAACAAATTAGCCTCACCACTTTCAAAAAAGAACTTTCTCATGTTACGTCCATGATATTCAAGTTGCAAGTATAATCCATATTACCTGGGGACCTCAGGCTATTATGTTCACAAACATAGAGATTATGTTCATAAACATAGAGATTCGGCGGAATGACAGGCTGAGCGCGGCCCAGTAAAATCCATAGTGATTATACTTGATCGAGATCTAAGCTTTAAATATTCGAGGTGAAAATGAGGCTAACCACCTTTTGAGAGGGTGAAATGAGGCTAACAAGTATACTTTTGTGTATATTTTCGAGTTGGTTCGGTATTGTGACTATCTAATATGTCAACAATAAAGATTGATTCATCCTCTTCAAACTCAACATTTCAGAAATCGCCGAGTCTACTTGTAGGAGGCCAAAATGAGGCTAATAAATAATTCGACCGCATTTTAACTTTAATGTACGGAAACAGGTTAACAGCTCACACGTTACTTGATATCCATGTTGCACATGAAATTCCTTGGGATTATATTTAATCGGTATTTAAGCTTCAAATATTCGAGGTGAAAATGAGGCTAACCACCCTTTGAGAGGGTGAAATGAGGCTAACAAGTATACTTTTGTGTATATTTTCGAGTTGGTTCGGTATTGTGACTATCTAATACGTCAACAATAAAGATTGATTCATCCTCTTCAAACTCAACATTTCAGAAATCGCCGAGTCTACTTGTAGGAGGCCAAAATGAGGCTAATAAAAAATTCGACCGCATTTTAACTTTAATGTACGGAAACAGGTTAACAACTCACAAGTTACTTGATATCTATGTTGCACATGAAATTCCGTCGGATTATAGCTTCAAATTTTCGAGGTGAAAATGAGGCTAACCACCTTGTGAGAGGGTGAAATGAGGCTAACAAGTATACTTTTGTGTATATTTTCGAGCATGTTCGGTATTGTGACTATCTAATGTGTCAACAATAAAAATTTATTCATCCTCTTCAAGCTCAACATTTCAGAAATCGCAGAGTCTTCTTGTACTTGTAGGAAGCCAAAATGAGGCTAATAAATGATTCGACCGCATTTTAAGTTGTAACTTTAATGTACGGAAACATGTTATAGACCCACTATAAAACTTGTAACTGTAGCCCGAAGGTTATTGAGACTTTATCGAAACTTATGTGAGGTTGGATTGAGGCTACCTTCCCTCCTTGAGGCAAAATTGAGGCTAACAGATACACTACACAGACAATTGTCACAATTGTCACACTGTGCCAGCTATAAGTAGTTGCTGAGCAGCAGCAGCAGTTAGATGAAGAAAATGAAGTTGAGGATGGAAATGTATTAGAGCTGTTGGCTAGAGTAGGCCCCTTACTTCTATGGAGTTCTCTGGCCAATTGCTCTGGCAATGCTCTCCATGGGGCCATGTAATATCACATGATCTGATATCATGCCAAATTAGACTCTAAACTATAAAGTATAATAAAAATGGAACTGTTTGAGAAAAAACATTTTTCGTTACTTGGAAAGAGAATACTTACTCAGCTGTCAGCATAACGAATCAGACGTACCTTGATCTTATATGTACTTGTGACGGTCTTGTTTTGTATTTAACTCTGCTGAAGAAGCAATTCCCTAATGCTGAAATCGTCACTTATTACCTTGGAAGTGATCAGAATGAGCAGCTGTTTGCATTTATTCGGGTTTCTTTTTCATCTGGTCGCTCAAGAAATATGGATGCGATAACTATGGCCCATGGAATGGAGAGAAAGAATGTGTACAGTGCTTTATCATTACATGAAGACACATCTGCAATTGCACATGCACGTGGAAGTACAGTTTTGCATCCTACAGTTCACCTCAAAAAGGTTAAATCTACAAGCCAGAAAGCAGAACGAGTGAAATGGACTGGTGGTATGATAAGCCTAGGCAAGTTGGCAAAAACGCTGGACAGGGCATCGAGGGACTGCATTCGAGAAGGGAAAAGAAACAATTACCCTGTGTTCGCCGCAGTCGCAGATCCTGAAGAACGGAGTGGGAAGCCAATCGTCCATGGCCAAGAACTTTTTTGGGAAGCTGTAGATGATGAAGCTGGATGCCTCGAGGATGAGGACGACTTAGCTTATGAGGTAGAACCTGGAGTTGATGATTGTGATGATGGAGAAACGATATCAACAGATAAATATGGAACACTATCCTTCCGGTCTTTTGAGACACTCACGCTCAATGGAGGAAGAAGCACTTTATCAACAAAATCTCGTCTTTCAAGATTCAAGGGGGACGCGTTTGGAGTGTCTTCTGATGTTCGCATATACAATCAACCTGAATGCGGATGTTCAACAGTTTTGAAAGCTGGCAGTACAGAAACTCTTAAAGTCTTCAAATCTCAGCAGGACTTTGCAACAGGAGTGGTTAGATTTATTTCTTATAAGTCATGCCCCATGAAGTACTACTGCCAGGAACATAGCCTAATCAATGGATCTCCTAATGTTTGGCTACTCGTCGAAGACAAATACATCAGATGCATTGTTCCTTGATGACATTCAAAATCGTTGTGTTGTCAATGTTTGTATTCTGTACATTTTGAACATCTCACAATTTGCTTTTCTTGAATAGTGAAATGTTTGGTATATATTTGATATAATACATTTCTATTTTCTTTATTTGTCATATGAATCTTTGACTTTAACGATCATTCCAAGCGTTATAAAGCATGAAACATGTCTCTTATTCAAGTACTAATAATATTTGCGAATCTAAAGTCATCCTAAAGGTCAAATATGAAGACCTAAATTCATGGCATAAATTGGCATAAATGGAGAATTGGCCAAGCATAAATTTCCATTTATGCCATGAAATTTCTATGCCATTTGACGATTTTTATGCCATTTGTCTCCATTTTATGCCATTGGTACCCCCCCTACTGCGCGATCAACATTTTAATTTAGCGGTTACATTTTTTGTGTTCTTTTGGAATTCGGAAACCTTGAAAAATATAATTTTATGACTATCAGCCCATCGATTAAAATTAACACATATAGAACATTTCTGCTACTTCCTGCTAATTACATGTCAATGATTCTAACACTCTCCTCAGTCGTAGTCCACGAAGGAGTCCTGACAGAGAGATGTACCGCGGCGGCAGCCCCAGCAGAAGAGGTGGCAGCCCCAGATACGACGATTACAACAGATAAAAAGTCCAAAGCTACCATACCCTTCCAAGGCTGAACTCAATTTATTCGGGCTGAACATCTTTTCTGTATATCCGTGGACTAAGTTTTAATGGTTACGAAAAACGTTACTTTCTTATTTGTATCGCGAATACACGAAGCAGACTTATTTTTACTTTACTGTGCTAAATGTAGTCCCTTTCACCCTTGAAACTTTCACATGATTTCTTGAGTTCGAAGAAGTCTTCTTGCAACACCGGATATTTATTATTTACTGAATATTTTGATATTATATGATTGTAATTCTTCACTCTTGACGAACAACGATATGAAAGTCTTACTTGGTTTTGTTCTCAAATCTCATACTTGAATTTTATTAAAAAAGGTATCATCACACTAATTTGATAAATTATAAGTGACTTAAGAATAAATGAGCGAAAATAAGTTTTTTTTATTGATCGCACACTGCTATTAATCAGCACACAGCTAATGCTATTAGTATCACTGTATTGAGTCCAAGTCAGTCATTGAACCAACAATGTACACGCCCAATAGTTCCTCTTGCTCCGGGTTTAGACTGTTGTCTAATATCAATTCCTCTCTTTCTAGAGGTTCCTCCAATGGTTCTCCGTTTTCCTGCGACATTCCTTGTTCCTGCAGCTCTCTTTTTTCCAGCAATGCTTCTTTGTCTGGAAGTATTATCCGGGTCTCCGGCACCTCCCCGTTTTGGAGATGATTGGTTCTGTTCTGTGGTAGTCCCTCGTTTTCCAGCAGTTCGTCACTGCTTCCTAAACATTTCTCTTCAATATCTAGCTACCCTGTTCTGATCCCATCGTCTGTTTCGGTATCGCTATTCTCCTTAAGTTTCCTCTTACTTAGAATCTGCAGTTCTTCCTTATTTCCATAAGATCTCTCACCGAAATTTGCATCAGTAGAGGGACCGGCTAGTTTGTCTAGAGGTTTTTTACTACGCTTGAGTTAGCCTCTCCTATTCTTCTGTGGTATTTAGAGGTGACTTCTGGAGAGCTGACTGCTCGACTGGACTTTAACTCTGACATCTTAGTGAAGATTCCAGATGACGTCTCAGCTGCGGTAATCTTGAACTTTGTGAAGAGGTTGAACACAAACTCACTGTACCGTTTGTTGGTAAATTTGTAGATGAAGGGGTTTCCCACTGAGTTGATGAAAGGAAAGAAATGTGATATCTTCACTGCCCAAGGGATCTGTTTCTTAGTGATTGTCACCACGGTGACGTAGATCAACTTGGGGGTCCACGAGATAACAAAGAGACCAGAAACTGCACAGATCGTGAGCAGAGCTCGGGAATGGGACCCTTGACCCCTGGCTCTCACTACTTTTCTGGCCACCTGGTAGATCCAAAGGTTACAGAAAATGATTACCAGTAGGGGAACTCCAACAGGTATGGCAGCGTTCCATAACATCAGAGTAGGGTGGGTAACATAAATCTTACTAATGCATCTGCTAACTGGGGGAGCATACATTCCGCTCTTGGCTAGGAAAATACTTTCAAATAACTCCACCCCAGCCAGGAGGTAAGACAGTAGGACCAACAGCCAGGCATGAGTTGTGGTGAGATCACGCATCCTGAACGGCATCTTGCACATCAGGATCTTGAAAATGGACAAGTTGAGAACGAGGTAGATATTAACCAGGACAGGTATAAAGTTGAAGTGTCCAGTGATGTCGCAGAGCAGGTCTCCTAAGATCCACCTCCCTGTAAACATGGTGATGACGGTAGGCAAGACTGTGTTGATGATGGCGAGAAAGTCCGCCACCGCTAGTTGTCTGACAAACACGATGGTAACTGCGTCCATGTCGATGGAGTTGTAGAGGTGGGACGTTATTAGTACAAACAGGTTTCCTGTGAACCCTAGAATGAAGGTAGCCACGGTGTATGTGGCTTCGAATACCTCTTCAGCTGTCCATGTGTCTGAGATTATGGAAACTGTCCCGTTTTGATCAGGTCCCATGTTCCAGCGGTATCTTGGTTGCTCAACCGGTATTTCTTCCTGTTTTGGAATCTAGAGTGGGATAATTCGTCATTGCAACGGCCAACCTACAGAAATTATTGATATAAACAAGAATAGGAGTATGGTTTAACTTATGGGTTATATGGTCATTGCAGATTGCTCATGGTGGTTAAAAAATCAGTTTCATCATCATGGGTTAAAAACAGTTTGAAGTATTTAAGTGCACATTTCATTTCCTGCACTGTCTAAATGAAACCAACGAATCGCTTCTTAAAAACCACAAGATCATTTTTAAAGGTATTATCAACAACAAATTAACATTCAAGTACAGAAATACATAGCCATGGCCATGTTTTGAAACGTTAACTTAACTAGGCCTGATGCCAAGTTGCTTAACTTGCTAATGCTATGATCGCAGTAAATTAAACTTTAGTCGTTCGTACAACTACAAGACCTAAGTGAGGCTCATATTATTTCAATCCCTCTCAAAAATTATCACGTGACTTAGGGTTTACTGTTTTATAGCCGCACCAATCGCGAGGGTATAATCTAAACCCCAACCACAACCCTAACCACAACCCTAGCCACAATCCGAAGCTAACCATAACTATAGTAACCACAAACCAAAACCCTAACCTTAACGCTTAACCTAAGCCATAAAATATCGAATTGGTGTTTTACCAGGCTTTCACGTGACCAAAACAGTTTGTTACCCATAACTCCCCAGTGAATCATTTTTACTTAATGTTATGGGTGATGGGGGTGAATCGGAATCAGCGTCTAAAAATACATCTAGTGATGATAGTTTCATTCCCTCAGGGCCTTTTCAAAAGATTTGAAAAAATCAGGGCGAGCGATTTATAGTGGTTATATTGTAATTGTATTAGTAAGATTACTGAAGCACAAGATATATAAGAATTATATAATATATATGTATTAACTTTAAGAAAACTGCAAAGGAAATGTGTCAAAAATGAAAACCGAACTGTGCAAATAAAACATTATCAAAATGTTGTTCTTTACAAATTTTATCACTTTGAAAACAGGTGCTTTATAGAGGTCATAGATATCAGTTAAGGTGTGTCCACAAATGGATTGTCTTAACATAGCGATCAAGTAGAGGCAAGGACAAAGCAAATGGAAAGTTGTCTCGGGTTCTATAAAGTAATGTGAGCATAATGGTGGGATGTTTCAGTCGATTTTAGAATTGAATAAATGTAGATGGGAATGAACGGATATCATAGGAGTCAAAAGTTGTGTTAGTATTAGATAGTATTAGGATTAGATAAGCATGGTCTTGAATAGTTTTGTTAGTGCTTTTATTGGCGGTGAGAAGAAAGAATGATCTAAGTTTATTTTTGGAGTTCGATTGTGGATTTCGATTGTAAAGTTAATGTTTTGTTCTTAATGGCTATATTTTTTAGTAGTTCTTGTCTTCGTTTGACATGTAATAGGGAAGGTAAGATGATGGGTGATAACTGATGAGTATGTCATGTTGTTGTGCAAATGTTTGAACGGGCGAGATGGTCAGCTTCTTCGTTCCCTTTGATGTTTTGATCACCGGGAACCCAGTGTAGGTAAACATGGTGTGATTGACCAATTACGTTTAAATGATGGAATTGTATAGATAATTTATATTTTGATTAAAAAAGTTCAAAGATTTGATTTCTGACACGAGATGCTTGATATTTAGGTTATGAGTGAGGTCAAGATTAATATAAAGTGAGGCGTTAAAGTATAACTGTGAATAATTAATAAACTGAATTTTAAAATCTGAAAACATATCGGTGTGATATTTGTGAGGGTGTACAGCACGTGTGAGACGAACATGACTAGAATGCTCGTGTTATTGAGCGGAGTGATCGTGAACCAACTTAACCCACGAAACCTTACTGGCACGGGCCTAACTTTGAAAGTAAAAGAGATAAATACTTCCGGTTTTTAGTATAAGGTCACAGCTTTATAACTTTGCAAATTGATGTGGTTGTCATGACTCCATGGATGAATTCAAATTTTAACACGCGTGTAGTAGGGGGGGGGGGGGGGGGGAGCTTGAGAAGGGGGGGGGGGGGGGGAGTTAGGGGGGGGGGGGGGATATATTTCGATATAAGGTTTATTTTGACGGGAAAAGTATGAAGTTTTAAATAAATAAAAATCGATTTTGAAGGTGAAGATCGAGTTTTTACGACCCTACCCCTTTTGTGTTGACAAAATTCTTTTATACTTATAGTGTCTTTTGGCACTTTAAAATTGAAATTTGACTTAATTGGTGGTGATTTATGTTTTGTCAAAGTGGAAGTTTTTAAATGAAATCGAAAATCTTTAAAATGCGCGTTGGTTATGACATGAATTTGGTGTGAAAAGTACATTTTGTTTGTGGCTGAATACCAGATTAGTGATTCATACGTGATATATTTTGCTGGAAATATATATCAATAATCTTCTTCTGCTCTCGCGAAAAGTATACTGGAAGTTGCAGCACTCTTTATGAGAGCACTACTCACTAGACTATTTTAGTGGAATCAAAAGTAACCACGACAATAGACATTGAGTTCACTCTTGAGTGGCAGTCGTGCATTTCTAAATCAAATGGTCCATTCACAGCTGATATTCTTTAAACTCGGGTTCAAATATTGATTGCAAGTCTTTGCAGTACGTGGTATCGTAACTAGTGAGTTGCAGTATGTCAAATATTAAACGACAGCTGTGTCCCTGGCCTGACCAAGTGACCAGTGACCTAAATACTCCTGATCAATGAATATATAGAAAGATAAATATATAGATCAGGAGTATTTAGGTCACTGGTCAGGGACACAGCTGTCGTTTAATATTTGACATACTGCAACTCCATAATCCAATTTGGAAATGGTCCGACGACCTAAATTCTACATGCGTATCACAATGCTGGCAAGCATGGCCGTGCCTCTTATATTCACAATACTATTTACCCCCTCAACTATTTACCCCCTTTATTATTTACCCCCTTTACTATTATACCCTGTTATCATTTTTCAGGCATTAAGACTCATCGAAAGTAGTTCAGCAGGTATATTTAAGTTCAAAACATTCTAATTCAATGTTAAAGATGACAGGAATAAAAAATAGTTATGTGGAACTGGAGGTTTTTAATGGTGATTTATCTGACTATTAGCCCATCGATTAAAATTATAACCCATATAGAACATTTCTGCTACTTCCTGCTAATTACATGTCAATGATTCTAACACTCTCCTCAGTCGTAGTCCACGAAGGAGTCCTGACAGAGAGATGTACCGCGGCGGCAGCCCCAGCAGAAGAGGTGGCAGCCCCAGATACGACGATTACAACAGATAGAAACTGAAAGACCAAAGCTACCCTTCCAAGGCTGAACTCAATTTATCTGGGCTGAACATCTTTTCTGTATATCCGTAGACTAAGTTTTAATGGTTACGAAAAACGTTACTTTCTCATTTGTATCGCAAATACACGAAGCAGACTTATTTTTACTTTACTGTGCTAGATGTAGTCCCTTTCACCTTTGAAACTTTCACATGATTTCTTGAGTTCGAAGAAGTCTTCTTACAATACCGGATATTTATTATTTACTGAATATTTTGATATTATATGATTGTAATTCTTCACTCTTGACGAACAACGATATGAAAGTCTTACTTGGTTTTGTTCTCAACTCTCATACTTGAATTTTATTAAAAAGGTATCATCACAGTAATTTGATAAATTATAAGTTACTTAAGGATAAATGAGCGAAAATAAGTTTCTTTATTGATCGCATACTGCTATTAATCAGCACACAGCTAATGCTATTAGTATCACTGTATTGAGTCCAAGTCAGTCATTGAACCAACAATGTACACGCCCAATAGGTCCTCTTGCTCCGGGTTTAGACTGTTGTCTATCAATTCCTCTCTTTCTAGAGGTTCCTCCAATGGTTCTCCGTTTTCCTGCGACATTCCTTGCTCTTGCAGCTCTCTTTTTTCCAGCAATGCTTCTTTGTCTGGAAGTATTATCCGGGTCTCCGGCACCTCTCCGTTTTGGAGATGATTGGTTCTGTTCTGTGGTAGTCCCTCGTTTTCCAGCAGTTCGTCACTGCTTCCTAAAGATTTCTCTTCAATATCTAGCTGCCCTGTTCTTATCCCATCGTCTGTTTCGGTATCGCCATTCTCCTTTAGTTTCCTCTTACTTAGAATCTGCAGTTCTTCCTTATTTCCATAAGATCTCTCACCGAAAGCTGCATCAGTAGAGGGACCAGCTAGTTTGTCTAGAGGTCTTTTTACTACGCTTGAGTTAGCCTCTCCTATTCCTCTGTGGCATTTAGAGGTGACTCCTGGAGAGCTGACTGCTCGGCTGGACTTTAACTCTGACATCTTAGTGAAGATTCCAGATGACGTCTCAGCTGCGGTAATCTTGAACTTTGTGAAGAGGTTGAACACAAACTCACTGTACCGTTTGTTGGTAAATGTGTAGATGAAGGGGTTTCCCACTGAGTTGATGAAAGGAAAGAAATGTGATATCTTCACTGCCCAAGGGATCTGTTTCTTAGTGATTGTCACCACGGTGACGTAGATCAACTTGGGGGTCCACGAGATAACAAAGAGACCAGAAACTGCACAGATCGTGAGCAGAGCTCGGGAATGGGACCCTTGACCCCTGGCTCTCACTACTTTTCTGGCCACCTTGTAGATCCAAAGGTTACAGAAAATGATTGCCAGTAGGGGAACTCCAACAGGTATGGCAGCGTTCCACAGCATCAGAGTAGGGTGGGTAACATAAATCTTACTAATGCATCTGCTAACTGGGGGAGCATACATTCCGCTCTTGGCCAGGAAAATACTTTCAAATAACTCCATCCCAGCAAGGAGATAAGACAGTAGGACCAACAGCCAGGCATGAGTTGTGGTGAGATCACGCATCCTGAACGGCATCTTGCACATCAGGATCTTGAAAATGGACAAGTTGAGAACGAGGTAGATATTCACCATGACAGGTATAAAGTTGAAGTGTCCAGTGATGTCGCAGAGCAGGTCTCCTAGGATCCACCTCCCTGTAAACATGGTGATGACGGTAGGTAGGACTGTGTTGATGATGACGAGAAAGTCCACCACCGCTAGTTGTCTGACAAACACGATGGTAACTGCGTCCATGTCGATGGAGTTGTAGAGGTGGGACGTTATTAGTACAAACAGGTTTCCTGTGAACCCTAGAATGAAGGTAGCCACGGTGTATGTGGCTTCGAATATCTCTTCAGCTGTCCATGTGTCTGAGATTATGGAAACTGTACCATTTTGATTGGGACCCATGTTCCAGCGGTATCTTGGTTGCTCAGCCGGTATTTCTTCCTGTTTTGGAAGCTAGAGTGGGATATTTCTTCATTGCAACGTATAGAAATTATTGAAATAAACAAGAATAGGAGTATGGTTTAATTTATGGGCTATATGGTCATTGCAGATTGCTCATGGTGGTTAAAAAATCAGTTTCATGGGTTAAAAGCAGTTTGAAGTATTTAAGTTCACATTTCATTTCCTGAACAGTCTGAATGAAACCAATGAATCGCTTCTTAAAAACCACAAGAGCATTTTTAAAGGTATTATCAACAGGCAACAACAAATTAACATTCAAGTACAGTAATACATGGCCATGTTTTGAAACGTTAACTTAACTACTTAACTAGGCTTGATGCCAAGTTGCTTAACTTGCTAATGCTATGATCGCAGTAAATTAAACTTTAGTCGTTCGTACAACTACAAGACCTAAGTGAGGCTCATATTATTTCAATCCCTCTCAAAAATTATCACGTGACTTAGGGTTTACTGTTTTTAGCCGCACCAATCGCAACGGTTTAATCTAAATCACAAGTCACAACCCTAACCACAACCTGAAGCTAACCATAACTATAACCACAACCCTTAACCCAAGCCATAAAATATCGAATTGGTGTTTTACCAGGCTGTCACGTGACCAAAACAGTTTGTTACCCATAACTCCCCAGTGAATCATTTTTACTCAATATTATGGGGGTGATTCGGAATCAGCGTCTAAAAATACATCTAGTGATGATACTTTCATACCCCCAGGGCCTTCTCACAAGATTTGAAAAAATCAGCTGGCGAGCGATTTATAGTGGAACTGGAGCGTTATACTTGTAAATAAACTTTCAGCGTTCAATTTTATCTCATGTAATTGTAACCACACGTGGTTCCGTGTGGTTCCTTGGGCTGTGAGTGGACACGGGTATCGGACAAGAGGGCGAAGGACACAAGGTCGGTGGACACAAGGGCAGAGGAGTAGGACACAAGGGCGGAGGAGTAGGACACAAGGGCGGAGGAGTAGGACACAAGGGCGGAGGAGTAGGACACAAGGGCGGAGGAGTAGGACACAAGGGCAGAGGAGTAGGACACAAGGGCGGAGGAGTAGGACACAAGGGCAGAGGAGTAGGACACAAGGGTGGAGGAGTAGGACACAAGGGCAGAGGAGTAGGACACAAGGGTGGAGGAGTAGGACACAAGGGTGGAGGAGTAGGACACAAGGGCGGAGGAGTAGGACACAAGGGCGGAGGAGTAGGACACAAGGGTGGAGGAGTAGGACACAAGGGCAGAGGAGTAGGACACAAGGGTGGAGGAGTAGGACACAAGGGCGGAGGAGTAGGACACAAGGGCAGAGGAGTAGGACACAAGGGCGGAGGAGTAGGACACAAGGGCAGAGGAGTAGGACACAAGGGTGGAGGAGTAGGACACAAGGGCAGAGGAGTAGGACACAAGGGTGGAGGAGTAGGACACAAGGGTGGAGGAGTAGGACACAAGGGCGGAGGAGTAGGACACAAGGGCGGAGGAGTAGGACACAAGGGCAGAGGAGTAGGACACAAGGGTGGAGGAGTAGGACACAAGGGTGGAGGAGTAGGACACAAGGGCGGAGGAGTAGGACACAAGGTCGGTGGACACAAGGTCGGTGGAGTAGGACACAAGGGCGGAGGAGTAGGACATAAGGGCGGAGGACACTGGGGCGGATCACATGATACTCTCCTTAACATAGACACAACGGTGGAACAAAAGACCATCTCAAATGATGAACTAGTTGTACCATTGCACAATTGGACATGATTGGACACAATTGGACATAAATGAGCATGTCAAAAAATGTCACCCATTGTACATGAGTAGAGCTGTGCAAATCGGTGATTTATGTTCCAGCCAATGAACTTATTTGTTGCGGAAATAGGGCGTTATGTACTGAATTATGTAAACTCGGAGACCGAGAAACTGCGTGTAACCTCATCAATGATTTAAAAATACATAAAAAGAATTGTTGAATGGATAGGAAAATGGTCAAACACGCGAGTGATGAGGTGTAACAGTCGTGGTGCAGGGTAAACGTTACCTGGGGACCACAGGCTATTATATTTATGTTCATAAAATGACTAAGCGAGGAAGAACTAATTAAATGAATAATGATTGGGCCGAATTTAATTAGTTTTCGCGTATTTTTGGTAAATCGATATGCAAACTTATGTCAATCAAAAGTCAATTCGATCATTTAATGAATAATCGGCGAATGAACTGGATTCAAACGTTACTTATGAGAAATCAACAGACTATTGAGTATAAACAGCTGGACTATATTATCTAGATGCGCCTACTACAGTACTACTAAGTACGGTATCAGAAATCTCCTCTGTTGCTCGATACAACTTATGCATAAGATTGAGCTGTTCTGAGATGATATAGGTTGATTGTCTGATAAGAAATGAAGGACCTTGCGATAAAAAGATTGCCCAATTTAATCACGCGTAAATTTGGAATTTGGGATGAGGTATAGAATCAACCTAATTAATCACTGAATATCAAAAACATTTCGTAAGACTCGGTGTTTCTTAGTCTTTATACCACGATTCATTATGAAAATTCAGCAATAGGTTGCGAAAAAATTGACAAATTTTATGAGAATTCGCATTAAATACGATTTTTAATAAAATCAGAGAATCTCATCAGTTCCTGTTACCAAGGACAGTTTTTAGCGCAAATTATATTGAAATTCTTACTCAAGGTTTACACTTACTAGCAGGAACCCGTATAACCCTAAAATGGTGCCAAGACTCAAGAGACTAAAATGATTATTACCTATTTAATTCGCGTTTTTAACACCACTCGAGGGTCCAAATTTTGGGCTCTAAACTCCTATTCTTTGGCCAATTGTTTATTTTTTCATGCTGATTTGACCCAGTCAAAAAAATTTCAGTTGTATATCTTTTACGGTTTTTGCGGAAAGTCGCGTTAAAGTTGATGCCGTGGTGTCAGTAAAAGGGTACGGATAAAAACATTCATATAATATATGACGATATATTATATCGTCTCGCTAGTAAGATACTTGAAATAAAGTAGGAAAATGTGTCAAATGGAAATATGCATATAAAACCCTGTATATAGTTATAAATACTATATTATCAAAATGTTGTTCTTTACAAATTGTATCACTTTGAAAACAGGTGCTTTATTATAGGGGTCATAAATATCGGTTAAGGTGTGTCCACAAATGGATTCTCTTAACATAGCGATATAGAGGCAAGGACAAAGCAATTGGAAAGTTGTCTCGGGTTCTATAAAGTAATGTGAGCATGATAATGGTGAGATGTTTCAGTCGATTTTAGAATTGAATGAATTTAGATGGGAATGACCTGATATTACAGGAGTACAAAGTTGTATTGTGTTAGTATTACTATTAGATAGTATTAGGATTAGATAAGAAGTCTTGAATAGTTTTGTTAGTGCTTTATTGGCGGTGAGAAGAAAGAATGATCTAAGTTTATTTTTGGAGTTCGATTGTAAAGTTAATGTTTTGTTCTTAATGGCTATCTTCTTTCAGTAGTTTTAGTCTTCGTTTGACGTGAGGTAGGGAAGGTAAGATGATGGGTGATGAGTATTGAGTATGTCATGTTGTTGTGCAAATGTTTCATGGTTTGAACGGGCGAGATGGTCAGCTTCTTGATCGTTCCCTTTGATGTTTTGATGACCGGGTTCCCAGTGTAGTAAACATGGTGTGATTGACCAACTACGTTTAAATGATGGAATTGTATAGATAGTTCATGTTTTGATTTTAGTGTTACTGAGAGATGATAGAACAGAGTCTGAGAATATGTTGATAAGAAGCTGCCGGGAACGGTGATTCAGCAGATATATTCAGCAGGTATATTCAGCGGGTATATTCAGCAGGTATAATGTATATTCAGCAGGTATATTCGGCGGTATATTCAGCAGGTATATTCAGCAGGTTTATTCAGCAGGTATATTCAGCAGGTATATTCAGCAGGTTTATTCAGCAGGTATATTCAGCAGGTATATTCAGCAGGTATATTCAGCAGGTATATTCAGCAGGTATATTCAGAAGGTATATTCAGCAGGTATATTCAGCAGGTATAATGTATATTCAGCAGGTATATTCAGCAGGTATATTCAGCAGGTATATTCAGCAGGTATATTCAGCAGGTATATTCAACAGGTATATTCAGCAGGTATATTCAGCAGGTATATTCAGCAGGTATATTCAGCAGGTATATTCAGCAGGTATAATGTATATTCAGCAGGTATATTCAGCAGGTATATTCAGCAGGTATATTCAGCAGGTATATTCAGCAGGTATATTCAGCAGGTATATGTAATTATGGTTTTACCACCGTGTTTTGGTTCAGCCGAAATACATTTTACTTTGATGTTTACATAATGTTTTTCACTCCAGCTGCAGTCTGGTAGTGTTGAGTCTCATGAATATTTTTCTAGCTCTCTTTTTCCATGTTTTTGCCTCACAGGAGATATTGTGGTCTTTTCTATTGAATATTATAACTGTAATACATTGACGTAAAGTTTATTTGAATTTTGAAATTAAAAAAAAAGAGTATATTCAGCAGGTATATTCAGCAGGTATATTCATCAGGTATATTCAGCAGGTATATTCAGCAGATATATTCAGCAGGTATATTCAGCAGGTATATTCAGCAGGTATATTCAGCAGGTATATTCAGCAGGTATATTCAGCAGGTATATTCAGCAGGTATATTCAGCAGGTATATTCAGCAGGTATATTCAGCAGGTATAATGTATATTCAGCAGGTATATTCAGCAGGTATATTCAGCTGGTGGTATTATGTGCAGATATGGCTACAGTAAAAATATTGTTTGTATAAGGTGAATTAAAGAAATCTGGAGAAAGGCCAAGATTTGTTGTGGCAGCGAACTAACGGTAGTAATTTGACCTGTAATGGATGAGGTCAACCTCTGTTGGTTTCGGTGAGTTCAAAGATTTGATTTGTGACACGAGATGCTTGATATTTAGGTTATGAGTGAGGTCAAGATTAAAGTGAGGCGTTAAAGTGTAACTGTGAATAATTAATAAACTGGATTTTAAAATCTGAAAACATATCGGTGTGATATTTGTGAGGGTGTAGAGCACGTGCGAGACGAACATGACTAGAATGCTCGTGTTATTGAGCGGAGTGATCGTGAACCAACTTAATGAAGTTGGTGTGAAAAATACATTTTGTTTGTGGCTGAATACCAGATCAGTGATCCATACGTGATATATTTGCTGGAAATATATATCAATAATCTTCTACTGAGCTCTCGAAAAGTATACTGGAAGTTGCAGCACTCTTAACGAAAACACTAGAATATTTTAGTGGAATCAAAAGTAACCATGACAATAGACATTGGAATCACTCTTGAGTGGCAGTCGTGCATTATCTAAATAGTCCATTTACAGCTGCCATTCTTTAAACTCTGGCTCAAATATTGATTGCAAGAATTTGCAGTACGTGGTATCGTAAGTCTTAATGACTAGTGAGTGACTAGATCAGGAGTATTTAGGTTGCACTGGTCAGGGACACAGCTGTCGTTTGATATTTGACATTATACTGCAACTCCATATTGGAAATGGTCCGACGACCTAAATTCTACAAGACGTGTATTGTGTATACTGTATACGTTAAAGTAAATATGGGATTTTTCTGATGAAGCCCAACCGCAATGCCCATTGTTATATATTAAAGTCACCCCTTCGGTTTCAGTTCCTTGTTTAACACTGCCGTACAGCAAGGACATCCACCGGGTTCTCCAAGGATGGGCACATAGCTCACTCCACACTATGCTCTGTCAAATGTTGCTTATATACAGTGATATATCAATATGAGTGATCAAGCCATCCCCAGAGTTGCAGATCAGAGTCCTTGTGAAATTGTTGCATCTCTAGAAGAGAAATTCACATTACTTGAATATGGATATGTTATCAGGGTAATTTTGAGCACGTTTTTAATCGCAACACTAGGAAAGCAGAGACAAAAGCTAATTACAATGTACACTGTAATTTACTGTAAAATCGCGCAGATTACCATGTAAACCCCGATTTACCGTACTAATTTCATATTCCTTGATATTTGTGTGACTGTATTTAAATTAGAAAAGTACTCTTCTAGTTCTGGAACTTCATAGCCGTTGGAACAGACAAAAATAAAATATATGAACGGAAATAAGGTTTTCACAGATATTTTTCATTTGAGTTAGGAGATATTCGCGACATAACTCCAAACCAGATGTTCAATCTAGGAATCAATTGTTGTAGCTCTTCCACTCTTTGTTGGATAATAGCAGGAGACAAGGAGACAAGGAGTATGATCTACTATATAGTGCTCACCTGGCTTTTCTCGATCACTCAGTCGTGAAGAAGTAATAGTGTTTAAGACCTGGTGATTTTTCCGACAGATAATGGTAAAGTAGCTCGCCACGAAATCTTAAAATTGAGTGAGAGGGTGTGGTAACTCCAATGGAGTGGTAAATCGACCGGTTTTCAAGTTTGAAGATGGGTTTTACAATTTTACTGTATATTATCTAAATACTAAAGAGGAAGTGGCGAAGGTTATATAATATAGAGCGCTCGCTTAGCATGTGAGAGGTACCGGGATCAATGCCCGGGTTATCCAATCATTATTTTTTGTTATCAAGTGCAAGTTGTAGAGATTTAATTCTGCGCTTCTACGGCCCCCATATATATTAATAGTATCTATAGATTTAAGTATACATTAATTCCGTTAAAAGATATGAGGAGGACCAAAAATAAA